CCAGCTCCCTGGGCTGCTGTCTTTGCCACCAGAACTCCTGGCCCCCTCGGACCTCTGGCCCACAGCTGAGCACCCCTTGGACACTAGAGTGGTTGAAGGCACCAGACCTGGGCCAGGCCTCCCAGAAGGACTGCTCCACGCCACAGCTCCCAGGAGAAAACATCAGGGAGGAAAGGCGCAGACCTGCACGAAACAGGAAACTCAGCAGCACAGACAAGCGACCCCTGAGCCTCACGGGGCTGTGCCCAGGTCACCTCTGTGACTCCAGCACCGTCTGGTCCATGGGACGTTGCCTCATCTCTCCCAGACCACAGTGAGTCTTTCTGGCTGCTGGGGGTGACCTTCGTAATTCTCTGAAGTCACTTTTCCATGCAAGTTTTCAGATGCACTCCACCTAGTGCCCGGCCCCTGCTCAACCTGCAGCCCACAGGCCAGGCAGTCCTGTGCCGGGAGGCGGCAGAGCAGTGAGAGCCATGACCGGGTCAGGGGAGCATCCATTTTACCGTCAGAGGTGGAAGATGGGGCCATCACTAAGACCCCTCTCCCCTTCCCTCCCCAGAACCACGGACGAGAACAGAAGAGCGGGGCTGGGGAAAGGCCCCATCCCTGCAGCTCGTCCACGTGGGGCCCAAGGGTGCCCCTCCTCTCCAGGTGGCCTCCTTTCAGCTCCCCTTTCAGCTCACTCCCTGCTCTGTCCAAGATGCTCTGGAAGGCCAGGGTGCTGCCAGGGGCCCTGTGGACTAGAGGAGCCCCAGGCACAGGCCGCCCTGTCCTCTGCTGAACAAGTCCCGCCTGCAGCTGTCTGAGGCCACACCTGGCCGATCCCGCACACCATGTTGTTAGGCTTGTGGCCCTCGGGGTCTCCTTGTTCTCCACTGACAATGCAGGGAGACATGGGGCATGGACCGTGGCAGCTCCTCTGAAAGACATCACTCTAGACTAGGAGCTCAGTGCCCACCCCTCCTCTGCATCTGCAACCCTGCAGGGTGTGAGCGGCTCCTGCCCGTTCCCCTCCCCCACCCTGGGAACAGTCCTCTTCTCTGTGGAGGTAATCCCCACAGAAGTGACCTCGGGTAGCACTGGTCTTTCTGCAGCAATCCACATGCAGTCTAAGCAGCCAAGGATCCAAACATCACACTGGCCCCATCCGTGTAGACAATCGTGTGTACCCAGGAATCCAAACATCACACTGGCCCCATCCGTGTAGACAATCATGACTTTTGTTCATGAGAATGGTGAACAGAAGGCTAAATAAAATGCAGTACAATTCAGGGCTCAGTGCAAGGGCCCCTCCTCTCACGAGGCTACAGGGAAACAACTTCTCCAGACTCCCAAGGCCACAGTGAGGAGGAGGCTGGCAGGACACCACACCTGCAGGAGGAAGTTTATTGCCATCCTGCAGAGCCCCTGGCAGCCCTGGCCCCCTGCTGGGACACTTCCTTTCTCTGCTGCTCCCTGGGAGCAGCTCCTGTCTTCTAAATGGTCCTCTCCAGGCAGCAGCAGTTGGCAGACAGGAAGGCGCACTCACGGGCACTGCCCCTGTGGTCCCAGCAATCAGGGAGGCACCGGGCATCAGGACGGCTTTGAGGGGAGGGAGCGGCCTGAGCCTGCCACAGTGTGGCCCTTCTGCAGCACTGGGCACCAGCTCAGGACAGGGGACCAGAGAGTCTTCCTTACGGCCCATCTCGAAGCCCAGGCCCACCAGATAGTTTTGAGCTTCAGGACCCTGGGCAGGACCTGGAGGCTCCACGACTGTTATTTCTCCTTCTGGTCCAGTGGAGCCCTTGGCTGGGATCTCCCAGCATGGCCTGGGGGAGAAGCGGCTGTCCTGTTCCAGAGGCCCAGCTGCAAGCCCAGGCCCCCCAGGCATTCGTGTGTTTCCTGTTCCTATTCCTTCTCTGGGTTCTCTCTGTCCCATGCTGAGCCGCTGGTGGCCCATGTCTGCCTCCGTGGGCTCTCCCCAGGGTCACAGGTCAGCAATCCAACAGGTGCTCAAGCTCTAGACTCATATAAGATGGAACCTGGTCATAGCCAGGCAGGACGTTGTCCTCCAGCTGCACCCAGTTCTTCCCAACAAAGGGCAACGAGCTTTTTGCCTCAGTCTCACAGTTCCTCACCCAGGACGGCAGCGTCCTGCAAGATGTCTAACTGTTGTCCCTCAGTCGGTCCGCAGCTCAGGCCTGAGCCCGTTAGTTAATATTCAGCCCAGCATCCAAAATGAGATTTTCTAGTTTTAAGTCTCTTATGCACTTAGCGCACTGCTGGTAATGTCGGACTGAACACTGGACGGACACGCCTGTCCTCCACAGGCGGCCACGCTCCGCCACGTGCTGTTCAAGATCCCCGAGCTGGCATATATTTGCTGTGTGCTTTATCCACAACAGCCTTATGGTATCCACTTTCACCCACACTTGCTGGGTGCTTGGGGAGTCGTCTCTGGTAATGATTTTCACAGACACCTGGGCTCCGCTTTCCAGATGGTGGCTAGCTCCACCAGGCCAATGGTCCTGAGAACCTGGTATCCATTGAGTAGCTCCTCCTCACTGTGACTGCTGTCATCAAACATCAAAATCTCTTATAAAGAATTGCTTTAAATAAAAATGCATTAAACTAAAAAAAATTCAATATTAGGGGCCAACGTTGGGGCATAGTGGGTAGTCACCGCCGGGGACACTAGCATCCATACGTACACCAGTTCATGTCCTGGCTGCTCCATTTCCAATCCAATTTCATACTAATGACCTGGGAAAGCAGCAGCAGACAGCCTAGTTTTTGTGCCCCTACCACCCAAATGGGAGACCTGGCTGAAGCTCCTGATTCCTGCAGCCTGGCCTAGCCCTGGCTGTTGCAGTGATCTGGGAAGTGAACCAGTAGATGGAAGCTACCTCTGTCTCTTCCTCTCTCTCTTTCAAAAAAATAAATCTTTTAAAAAACAAACAAACAAACAAAAACAGCCTATTAGGGGCCAGCATTGTGCTATCATGGGTAAAGAAGCTGCCTGGGATGCTGGCACACCTTATGGTCACCAGTTTGTGTCCTGGCTGCTCCTCTTCCAATCCAGCTCCCCACTAAAGGCCTAGGAAAAGCAGTGAAAGATGGCCCAAGTGCTTGGGGCCCTGCTACCAACCTGGGAGACATAGGGATGAAGCTCCTGACTTCTGTCTAGCTCAGCCCCGGCTGTTACAGCCACATGGGGAGTGAACCAGTGGATGGAAGGTCTCTGTCTCTCTCTCTAACTCTTTCAAATCAATAAATAACTCTTAAAAAAGAAAAAGAAGAAGAAGAAGAAGAAGAAGAAGAAGAAGAAGAAGAAGAAGAAGAAGAAGAAGAAGAAGAAAAGAAAACCTATTTTCCAAAAATCAAAAGAGAACAAATACCCATGAGGATATGTAGAAATAGGAAGCCTGAAACACTAGGTGAGAATGCAAATTAGTATAACTGTTATGGAAAACAGTATAGGGATTCCTCAAAAAAACATTTAACCAAGATGTACCACACGACCGGCTATCCCACCTCTGGGATTATATCCAAAGAGAAACCCGCACTCCCACCTTCACTGCAGCCCAATTCACAGCAGCAAGGACTTGGAGTCAACCTAGATGTCCCCCAACTGATGGCTGGATAAAGACAACATGGTTGCAACAGAAGTATACTCGCAGACAAGCTGCTGCTTCTTTTTTTTTTCTTTCTTTTTTTTTTTTTTTTTTGACAGATAGAATGGACAGTGAGAGAGAGAGACAGAGAGAAAGGTCTTCCTTTTTCCATTGGTTCACCCCCGCAATGGTCACTGCGGCCGGCGCACTGAGCTGATTCGAAGCCAGGAGCCAGAAACTCCTGGCTCCTGGCTTTGGATCGGCGCAACTCCGGCTGTTGAGGCCAATTGGGGAGTTAATCACTGGATGGAAGACCTCTTTCTCTTTACCTCTCCTTCTCTCTCTGTGTAACTCTTTCAATTAAATTAAATAAATCTTAAAAAAAAAAAAAACCTGAATCTCACTAACAATCATCTATGTCAAACATTGTTTAAAAAAAATAGATTTTTGTCTAAATCTGTGCGCCTGTGACTCATGGAGCCCAGCACTCCCATAGCCACCAGCACCTCAAGACCAGGCTATGCTACGTAACCATGCGTTTTAGTTAACAATGCTATATATAACCATAGTGGCTCATTAATGGTAACAAATGTACCAAACCAATGCAAGATGTTAAAATAGGTGGTCATGGGGCTGGTGCTATGGCATGGTGGGCTAAGCCTCTGCCTGTGGCGCCAGAATCCCATATGGGCACTGGTTCGAGTCCCAGCTGCTCTTCTTCCTATCCAGCTCTTTGCTATGGCCTGAGAAAGCAGTAGAAGATGGCCCAAGTGCCCTGCACCCATGTGGGAGACCTGAAAGAAACCCCTGGCTCCTGGCTTCGGCTTGGCTGCAAGAGCAATGAGGGTTAAAGGAGGTCAAGTGAGCTCTCATTGGCCTTGGCCAGATGTCTTTTTCAAGGCTGTTTTGCTTGCAATCAAGAGGAACAAGACAAGCAGCAGCATCATGGCTAGAGGAGGTCACCACACACTGACAACGTTCGTGCCACCAAGAAGACGGAGCCATTCCAAACGAGGCCCTATAGAAACCTACTAACCAGGAGCCTCCACAGTATCTGAAGAAACAGACCTACAAGGAAAAGCTCAAATCAATCGTCAGGGTGGGACAGGCGAAGCAGAAACAAAGCCAGAGGGAAACTTCCCTGTGTTGAATTTTCAACCGCGTGACTGGTTTTGGCCAAAACGGACGGCAAGCAGGTAGGGACCCTGAAGGGTGCTAGTGGGCGGCCCCACACCCGCCCCTACACTGGCTGCTCCTTTCCTGACCTCAGCTCCCGGCCGGCGTGGAACAGCCCGCGTCGGGGAAGCCACACCAGGCCTAGTCCCCAGAAGTCACGTGTGTGGCCCTGTTTCGCAGAGGGTGCTGGAGCTCGGCTCTGGCACCTACCCAGATCCTGTGCAGGCCAGGGAGGCTCTCAGGAGACACCAGGCACTGGAGCTGCAGGTGTGGGCAGGCTCTGCTGAGGACTCCTGCTGCCCTGGTGCTCCGGCCGACTCCTGTGTCCAGGTCGCACTGCTGAGCGCTGAGATGGAGGTGATGGGCTCTGTGCCTGCCTGGTCCTCAGCCTCCCTATCCCAGTGAGCAGGGACCTGCTGCGGGGCGCCCACTTGCTGGCCCTCCTGGCTGAGAGAAAGCAAAGGCCGTCACCCCTCTGCTCCCAGGAGGGGCCCTGCCTCTCCCAGCACGCCCACCCTCCTCCCTCCCGTCCATGCCCGGGATGGATCCCCGCCTGGCACACTGTAGGTGCTCGTGGATTCAGGGACCCAAAGGAGGAGGAGGCAGAGAGAGCGGTGGCTGCAGGGGTCAGCCTACGAAGCGGCCCCCGTTTCTCCCCCTCAAGCCCAGCTGCTCCTCCTTTCACAAGTCCAGGGTCAGTCTGTCCACCTTCCTGGGGTGCCTGCCCCAGGTGAGCGCGGTTCCGGGCAGCACAGCAGGGGGAGGGGTGGGGGGACCATGCCCGGGCACGGCTCAGGGGGGCCTGCCGGGGTGCGCGAGCGCCCAGCGCCGCCTCCACGGGTCTTCACCGTCTGGGGAAAGGCAAGGCACGAGCGAGACCCGAGGCAAGACGTGGGTGGACACTGGGTGTTGGGCTCTCGGTCAGAGGCGGCGGAACCCGGCTGGCGCTGAGAAGCCAGGCCGAGCTGGAGGCCCGGTAGGGCCAGAAGGGCTGACCGGCCAGGGCGGCCCAGCTGCAGGTCGGTTCCCCAGGCGCCTGCAGTCCCTGCGAGCGGCCGTGCCCGACGGCAGGGGGCTCGGACCACGGCGCCACCGCCCGCCTCAGCCGGCGGCGACCCAGGGAGGCAACGGCCGCGTGGCGGCCACGCAACGGTTAGGCGATGGGCGGGGCTGCGGCGGCCGGGGCGGGGCTGCGGCGGCCGGGGGCGGGACTTCCTGTGTCCGCTGTGCTGAAGAGGGACGAGGTCAAGTTGGAGTCTCCAGAGTCGGGAGCCGGTTAAATTCGTTCACTCATTCATTCATTCCTTAAGGACTTTCTACCCCGAACTTAGCGCACCCCTCACCTGTTGTAAGGAGGACGACGGTTCCTGGCCGCTCCCTCCCTCTGTAAGCCCCACCTCCCTCCCTTAATAAAGCAAAGGAGGTGCTGGGCTCGGCAAGCTCGGGTCCCCCTCAGCCTTTAGCTTAAAGGAGCGTCAGAGTTCTGTGCGGACGTCGTGAGGCCCAACTCAAAGATGAGACGGGCTCAGAGGGGTGAAGCCGTGGGACTCGGATCCCTCGTCTCTTGGGGAGCAGCCCTGGCTGGAAACCCAGACTCCTGACTCCAAAGACGGGGCTTGTCTGCTAGCCACCCACGCTCAGAGCCCTGGCTGCTGCCCTGACGCCAAAGACCACGGCACCCCACAGGGCTGGGCGGCAGGGGCAACCCGCAGAGGTGACTGGCTGGAGGGGACAGGGTAGGCTCCTCGGAGGAGGTGACAAAAGCCAGTGGTTGGGCTTTGCCAGGCACAGGGACGAACAGGTGCAAAGGCCCAGAGGAGTGGAAACATGGGGCGCAGGTTGGTCCCCAGTACACAGCCCCAGAGGGCAGGCAGCACTAAGGCCATGGACCACGGGGAGCCTGATACGGTGCCTATGGAGGGAGAGGAGCCACACTGAGCAGCCAGTTTGCTCAAGAGCGTGGGAGCTGAGGTTATACACACACACACACACACACACACAACCACCAAATGCACAGAGAGAAAGCAGAGAGCTGGCCTAGGGCTGACAGATGGGAGGGGGATGGGAGGGGTTCACGAGGACAAGGCTTTACTGGAGGGCATAGGATGAAATGTTCACAAACTGGATTTTGGCAATGGATATAGAACTCCACTGGCATACTAAAAACTATTGATTCATACACATTAAGTGGGTGAGCATGTGGCATATAAATAAGTGTATACTGCCTTTTTTTTAAAAAAGGGAAAGGAATGAAGAAATGAAAAAGAAACAAAATCACTGCCTTGTCCAAAAGAAAAACACTACACAGTGTGTGCAAGAAGACCCTGTAGACTTCAGGAAAAACTAGAATTTAAATATTGGGGAGCCGGCATTGTGGCATATCAGGTTAAGCCTGTGCCTGTGATGCCAGCACCCCATATGGGCACAGAGTGGGGACCTAGCGGATCCACTTCCAATCCAGCTCCCTGCTAATGCACCAGGGAAAGCAGCAGCTGATGACCCAAGTCCCTGGGCCCCTGCTACCCATGTGGGAGACCTGGAAGAAGCTCCTGGTTTCTGGCTTTGGCCTGATGCAGCCCCTGTTGTGGCCATTTGTGGAATGAACCAGTAGATGGAAGATATTCTCCCTCCCCCTCCTCCTCTAACTCTGCCTTTCAAATAAATAAACCTCAAAAATAACATGAGGAGCGTACTTTAGTGTAGGAGCTAAGCTGTCTGAATAAGAGTATCTGAGTGTGATTCCTGGCTCTGGTTCCTGACTCCAGCTTCCTGCTCATGGAGACCATGGAAGGCAGTGGTGATGCCTCAAGTTGATTGCTAACACCATTTGGAAAATATGGAATGCCCTCCTGACTTCAAAGTCTGGCCTGGCTTAGCCTCAGCCATTGTGGGCATTTGGGGGGTGACTGTGGATGGGAGCTCGCTCTCTCTCTCTCTGTGTGAGCATGTTTCTTTGCCCCTCAAATGAACACAGTGAATATGCATATTCCATGAACTTTTTGAAGACCCATTCCATGCATGTGCACACACAGATGCTACATAAAGTTTTCTAAGCTGCCTATAGATCAGGTTTTCCTATGCAGGTACAGTGAGGGAGCAGAGAGCTGAGGGCTGTGGTGGGGTGGGGGCAGTTCACCATCTACTTGTGCCTGATCGGGAGGATGAGCAAATGACATCGCACTGAAGTGCCCGGGGCTCAGCCCCAGAACTCTGCAAGCTCTTGGCCATGGGTAGCCAGCAGCAGAGCAGAGCCCACCTCAGGTCTCCCAGTGGCCTCCAACACTCAGAATGGGGCCTGGGCCACCGAGGTTCTGGCCAACCCCCACTCCCCAGGAGTCCCTCTGTGCCTGCTTCTGCAACCTGAGCATGCAGGCTGTTTTGTCATGGGGAAAGTCGCTAAAGACCCAGGAGCATCTTGCATCTGTGGGCTCAGCAGGGAGTCCCAGGCCTCATTAGCCACTGACCATTACCATGGCCAAGAGACAGGGCAGCAGACGGTGGCTCCAGCAGCTGCCGAGAGACCCAGGCACCAGTTCCTCTGGCACTGGAACTCACCCCCCAATCTGTGCTCCTCCAACTCCTGCTCTCCCATCATAGATAGGAATTTCTTCTGGCCTTGAGGATTGGGAGCCTTGATATTAGCACTGGGATGGCTGCTCTGGGGAAAGCCAGTGGGGTGATCTACAAAGGGTAAGGTGCAGGGAGGAGCCCTCAGAGTCAGTACACTGTCTACAATTCCCTCTCAGGTCCCAAAAATAAGGAGCAGGCTGAGTCCTGGGTGGGCCGGAGGAAAACGCTCAGGGCAGCCCTTCACCCTGACTTGGGTCTGAGTTGCTCCATACCCCGATCTGAAGGTCACGGACAACAGTCCTCTCCTTCGAGGCCCTGGGTCTCCCTGCATGGCACTGAGTCCCAGAGGTGGTGGTGTCCTGAGCTGGGCAAAGAGGACCTTATGCAGTCACTTTGCACAATTCTGGGCAAGTGAGCAAATGCTCTGCTCTTCCACTGGTCTCTGACCCCTTCCCACAGTGCACCCCATCACCAAGGCACCTCATGTCCAGTCGCATCTCGTGCCACTCCCAGCTGGTGAGGTCCCTGGGACTGTGATCCTGGCAGTGTGGCTCTCCACAGACAGACCCTGGATAAGGACAGGAAGTCAGAGTTCCATGACGGGTTTGCAGGAGTGAGCACCGTGAGAAGGGCCCACTCGCTTTTGGAAATAGAATCCCTGGTTCGTACGCTAGATTGCACTGAGTTATACATCAGAGACAGTGATGTCGCCTTTACTCTCCCTTTGTTCGCTTGCAGTTCACCTGCGGCTGTAAGGCCAGGAAGCTGCATAGCAGGCTGTCATTTGTGTATACCCCAGGTCTGGGCACCTTCTCTTCCTAAGCCTTATACATTGGCCAAACACAGACGGGTACCAAGGCTGTGGGAATAAAAGTCCCACGACGGGGCATGGGAGTTGATGGGTAAATGTAGCCTTCACACTCAGGTAAGAGGATTCTGAGTTTGCTCCGCACCATTTCTTAGAGAGACTTCCCACAGTGGGAGTCAGTAGAAACCTGCTTGCAAATGCTGCCTTGGATGGTTTTGGTACCCTCCTTGTCTCATCTCCCCACTTCACTTTTTCTTGCATGATATCACCTTCCAAATAAAGTATGTCATTTAAGTCTTTGTCTCAGGGTTTTCTTTGAGGAAACTAAATCTATAGTAAGTGGTCAACTGTCAATCAGGTAAATAATCTACCAGCAATCACTGGAATAGTAAGGGATCAACAGGCAAGATTATGAGGACTGTTTTGCTGGTGATAAGTGCCATGCTGGTCATACTGGAAAGAGACCTGACACACTGGGGACAGAACGGGAAGCACTAATTTATGCTTTAGTTCTAGTACTTGAGATATATGGGGCAAGAAGGATTGAAAACATTCTGGAGTTGGGTGTTTGGCAACCATGATCTGAGGACATAGGCAAACAGTGAAAGCCAGAGTTCCTTCATACCAACATCTAAACAGACCCTCACCTCCTGTGGGAGAAGGAAGACTGCAGAGTTCCTTCATACCAACATCTAAACAGACCCTCACCTCTTGTGGGAGAAGGAAGACTGAGGACAGGACTTAGTTACAAGGGAAGTGGGTGTGTAAAAGACGCTGAGGGCCGGGTGTTTGGCCTGGTTGCTAAGACACCTGCCTTCCCTGTCAGCGTTCCCGGATTCAATGTCCCGCTCTGACTCCGGCTTCCTGCTAACGCAGACCCTGGGAGGCAGCAGGTGATGCCTCAGGTAGCTGGGTTCCTGCCACCTACCCAGGGGCCTGGATTGAGTTCCCAGCTCCCAGCTTTGGCTGGCTCCGTGCCAGTCATTGCAGGCATGTCAGGAGTCAACCAGGGGACGGGAGCTTTCTCTGTCTCTCAAGTAAATACTTTTTCTAAAGAAAATGGCATTGGTGGGGAAAAAAAAAAAAAGGTCCCTACCCTTATTGACTTCTATCTCCTTGACAGCTCCATTACATGCTAATTTTTCCCCCTGAGTTTCTATTTCACTGTTTGTATCACAAATGCCTGGTATCTAAGGTTCGCAAGGGAAACATCCCTCCATGCAACCATAATTCCATCTGGAAAGTGGAATTAGATTCTCTCCATTCATTTCCTGCATCTGAGGAGATCTGCTTCCCATCACTCTGGAAATTGCTGGAAGGTTTCATTTCTAGTTACTTCCCGCAGTCTCTGGCCATTTCCATTAAGCACTAGTAATTAATGATAATTGTTTATGATAATTAATACCTTAGCTAAGTCTTCTTTATGGAACTTGCAGGACGTCCCCTACAGCACTTCATTCCTACTGCAGATGATAACCACAGCTCTCAAAGGAGATGGGAACCGAGACCGCTGACGTTATACCCCAGGCCTAACTGCTCCTCACGCACACACACTGACTGTACCCTCACACACACACTGGCCTGGCAGCACAGTCGGTCAGATGAGTGTTAGCGCGCGTCAGGGAAGACGCAATGTTGAGGAAGACACGGCCAAACTCACCAGCGAGGGGAAGAGCCATTTCCTGGAACTGCATGAAGCCCTGGTCACAGTCCTCCCCTCCGTTGGCCTTGGAGCTGCCTTTGTCTTCTGAACTTGTCTACCTCTTCTCTCTGATAAAAATCCATACTCTTGAGGCTGGCACTGTTGCACGGTGGGCTAAGCCTGCGGCCCCAGCATCCCATATGGGCAACGGTTCTAGTCCTAGCTGCTCCTCTTCCGATCCAGCTCTCTGCTATGATCTGTGAAAACAGAAGATGGCCCGGGTGCTTGGGCACCTGCACCTGCGTGGGAGACCTGGAAAAAGCTCCTGGCTCCTGGCTTCAGATTGGCTCAGCTCTGGCTGTTGCGGCCATTTGGGGAGTGAACCAGCGGATGAAAGACCTTTCTTACCATCTTTCCCTCTTTCTCTGTCTGCAACTCTACCTCTCAAATTAAAAAAAAAAAAAAAGCTTTTAAAAAATCCATAATCTCATTTTTATCTGCTAAATAAATAACACACACTCCTCCAGATATGTGAACAATGTGATGAGACCACTAAAGTAACCTCACATGGACTCTGGCCACATGTACCTGAATGTATTTTTTTTTTTAAATGAGAATGTGATTCAGGTGGGCACTGTGAACAGGCCTACAACCCCATCTGAATCCTCTTCATTCAGCAAAGTGCTGGTGTCCTGAGAAGGCATTGGCCACCATGGAGTCGACTCTATCACCGAGCTGAATGCCATGAAACCACTGGCTGTGCAATTCTTAGAGAAGAAGGCAGACTGAGCCCTGGCGGAGAGTGTCAGAGCTACTGCCATTGTTTCCACGGAGCCAGAAGGCTGAGCATTTGGCCCTCACATTCAGCCTTTTCTTGATCATCCTAATCCCATCACACACTCCAAGTGTGACCTTGTCATCAAACATAAAAAATGCTGTATCAGAATCAATCAAAATGGCCCAAGGCCAGCATTGTGGTGCAGTGGGGTAAGCCACAACCTGGGGCATCCCATATGACACCAGTTCAAGTCCTGGCTGCTCCACTCGCAATCCAGCTCCCTGCTAACGCACCTGGGAAAGAAGCAGATGATGGCCCAAGTGCTTGAGCCCCTGCCACCCACATGGGAGACCCAGATGCTTTAGCCTAACCCAGCCCCAACTTTAAGCCATTTAGGATGTGAGCCAGAGGATGGGAGATATCTTCTAAGTCTCTCCCTTTCTCTTGTAACTCTGCCTTTCAAATAAATGAAACTAAAGAAAACAAAATCAAAGTGGCCAGTTCTGCACCACTTGTGTAAGAAATCTGCCAAATTTTGGAGGAAAGCAGTATACATGGATTTTAGGGAGACCCTTGCTTCAATCTTTAACCAAGTCCAGAGGCCATATGGACAACAATAAATTCATGCCAGCTTCTTCTGGGCTGGGCTTTTACACGAATTGTGCTTTCTCTCTGAAATAATCTACTGCCAATCACTTTAGCCCTCAACATTTCATAATCCTTCATTTGATGATGAATCCCTATTTTTTTAGTCTCCAGTGTTTCAGTTTCATATCCATATCTAAAATTTTTATTGCTTGTTTTTTTTTTCAGCTCCTTTTCTGTTATTTGAGTGCTGTTACCCTGGGTCCTACCATCGATTTTTAAAATACTTTTTTAGATATTATTTTCATTTTTCATTATTCATTATCTAGCCTCTAATGTGAACTAAACACTTCTGTTGTTTTATTTTTTTGAAGGCCAGGGCTGAGTCAGGTTGAAGCCAGGGACCAGGAGCATCAGGACTTGGTCCATCTTGATTGCTTTCGCAGGTGCATTAGCAGGGAATTAGATCAGAAATGGAGCAGCCCAGATACAAACCAGTACCCATATGGGATGCTTCTACTTGCTGGGCCACAACACTGGCCCCACACTTTTTCTACTGGAAGAAATACTTTAATAAAAACACATAATCAAGTGACACTCTTACTTTTACAAAAAAACAAAACTTCTTTTTTTTTTAATTCAGATAACTTTATTTAAATTGAAAATTATTAAAATTGCATTTAGATTTAAATAACGTTGCTATAAAAATCATAAGTATTTCTTTTTTTTTTTTAATTTATTTGGGGCCGGTGCCGCAGCTCACTAGGCTAATCCTCCACCTTGCGGCGCTGGCACACCGGGTTCTAGTTCCGGTTGGGGCGCCGGATTCTGTCCCGGTTGCTCCTCTTCCAGTCCAGCTCTCTGCTGTGGCCAGGGAGTGCAGTGGAGGATGGCCCAAGTCCTTGGGCCCTGCACCCCATGGGAGACCAGGAGAAGTACCTGGCTCCTGCCATCCGATCAGCACCATGTGCTGGCCGCAGCGGCCATTGGAGGGTGAACCAACGGCAAAGGAAGACCTTTCTCTCTGTCTCTGTCTCTCACTGTCCACTCTGCCTGTCAAAAAATAAAATAAATAAATAAATTTAAAAAAAATTTAAATTTATTTGACAGGTAGAGTTATAGACAGTGAGAGAGACAGAGATAAAGGTCCTCTTTCTGTTGGTTCACTCCCCAAATGGCCGCTACACTACGGCCGGCACTGCGCCAATCCGAAGCCAGGAGCCAGGTGCTTCTACTTGGTCTCCCATGCGGGTGCAGGGACCCAAGCACTTGGGCCATCCTCCACTGCCCTCCTGGGCCACAGCACAGAGCTGGACTGGAAGAGGAGCAACCGGGACTAGAACCCGGCGCCCATATGGGATGCCGGCGCTTTAGGCGGAGGATTAACCAAGTGAGCCACAGCGCCGGCCCCAAAAAATCATAAGTATTTCTAAGTAAGGTAGAAGTATTCCGGGGTTAACAAGACCAGATTTAACTTTGCACTTTATCCTTTAAATGAATTGTAGACAAGGGGCTGTCATTTCTTTTCTTCAGTTCATAACTGACAAGTGACAAGAGAAGATTGGAGGATTTAGATTCAAATGATCACTTTTGATAGA